CTTACACAACTTCAATAAGATTCGTATAGAAGAAGCGATCAAGCGAAAAAAGGCTTCTCTCGTCTTTGCCAGAGATCTGTCTGCCAGGAAGAGTCAACCGTCAAAGTTAAAGACTGTGGTAGCATCGTTTTCAGCACACCTGAGATTTTGAGTGAGTTTGAGAGGATTTTCATTCTACGCAAACTGTCTAAATTTTAAGCGCTTCTTCTTGTTATATAATATATCTAATTATGTACAGTCATTTTATTATTTTCTACGTGGTAGAGCCATGCTGCAGCTATATTATGGTTGTAGCACGAATGGGTCGGCTCGAACGGAGAAGGACCACGCTCTCACAGAAAACCAGCGTAAAATAGCAGCTTAACGCTGCTGTGTTTTGTATGGTGAGTGTAGAGAACCGGAGACCCTTTTTACTGGAAACGAGGCATTCCATCTTAGTCCTCACGGGTGACAACGCATCTGCATCTTGAGTCTTTATTGAGGATAGATGTAGATGTCTATGGGTCACAGTAACCACTTACCATCAGGTGGACTGTGTGCACGTTTGTCACCCGATCCTATAAAAAAAGTCAAGTCTGGCAACTTTACCAATGGAAGGTAACTTTGAAATCAGGGATGTACTGGTACAAAACTCCGATTAAAATGGAAAACGTAACCTTCTTCGAGATATGCCATTTTTTGGATGAATATACAACTAATTGACAGCATTGCTACATGAGAATTAATTTTGGCATTTTATTTTAACTGAATTGTGCCGGCGAAGTAACCTCTTTGTTCAGTGCTCCAGAACTTTTGTTTATTTTGTTTGAAATACTGAATATAGTTATCTATTTTTGTAACATAATATTAATGGATATCAAATGAAATATATCGTTTTTAACAAGTTGGTCTTAACATTTAGTTATAAAACTGGCTTTGCAAAGTTAGCATACACTAGTATGCTAACCTTGCCAAGTAAGATGCCACAATGTGACGGTTACTTTACTATGTTTTGCTACAACCAAGGGTTGTCACTTTCAACCTATATTTTTAACCGATTACAACTATTTAAACAAAGTGTTCTATATTTGACAGTCTATGTATGTAATTTTGTATCGATGTTTCACCGTAGCAGGCGATTAGACCGATTTTACCAAACGAGTCGTCAATCAATTCACCTTTATCAAAAATGAAGGAAAAGAAAAGAGAAATCTATATTATTTTTGCAGCGTTGTCGGGCATTCATAATATTATTACTACTCAGTATTTTTCACAATTTCAACATAGTGTATTGATATTAATTTGCGCCCAAAAACAGTGTCATTTTTAATGATTATTAATGTTTTGTTATTGTGGGAAAACAATATTTAGATTGATTACAATAATTATGACCTGATGATGATGATGACTAATAAAAAAACCAATACTTTTTAAAAATTATTGGGACAAGTTTTTTTTATCTATACTATAATTGATTTAAGCTTATTATTGCACCAATTTCGTTTTTAATTTTAGACGAGAGGATTTTTGTTTAATATAAGTATTTTAGATTTTTGCTTAAGAAATTATTGTGATAAGATTCAAATAAAAAAATTGAATTAAGTACGTAATCAAGGATTTTTGACAAGCCTGACACATATTTTCAAGTTTGTATGAAATATTCAAAAATGGGAGGGCTACTTTGTCACAAGAGTAAACTTTGCTATTTACAACAGAATTAAAAGAGCAACTCATAACTCTGAGTGTTGTGTATTATATTATGAGGTAAACTTACCTTCAACCTTGAAGTAAAATCCTATTATTTTCATTATAAACCCCGATGGCAAAGTTGTCACAAAGTGAGGTTAACTTTGCCATTTTCTTTTTTTGAGTATTTTGTTTATCTAATGTTAGTAATTGTTTAAATCACTAATAAATACCAAATCTACGAAGAATCACATCACGTTTAACATTGACGCCCAGTCTGACAGTACATTTTTTGTTGAAAAATTGGTCCTATACTTTTAAGTCCTTCCGAAAATAGCAAAGTTGCCAGGTTTCACGGTAACGAAATTACCTCTTCTAATAATTGTGACAAAATAACGCAAAATTTTAAGCATTGATTGAATTCGAATACGGACATAATATGAATATTTTGTAATTCAAATTTTGTACGTGGTAGAGCCATGCTGCAGCTATATTATGGTTGTAGCACGAATGGGTCGGCTCGATCGGGGAAGGACCACGCTCTCCGAATACCAGCGTAAAATAGCAGCTTAACGCTGCTATGTTTCGTATGGTGAGTGTAGAGAACCGGAGACCCTTTTTACTGGAAACGAGGCATTCCATCTTAGTCCTCACGGGTGACAACGCAACTGCATTTTGATTCGTAATCGAAGATGTCTATGGGCCACAGCAACCACTTACCATCAGGTGGACTGTGTGCTCGTTTGTCACCCTTATCCTATAAAAAAAAGATGATGTTATCTCAAAAATTAGAACTTAAATTACTTCTCTTTCTGAAATAAGTATTTCAAAATAAACTTTGTTCCCCATGTAGCTGCTGTCTAGACCTTTTGTTTATTCATTCCATTTGGTAAAATCTTGGTTAAAGTTTGCCCGGATAATCTGACTTCGAAATGTGTATGTTAAACTTATTTCATCAAATCTGTATACATCTTTTTAAGCAAAGAAGTTTTATTCAGAAGTACCCGATCATTCACTCTTGCTCTACAATACCTAACTTTGTTTTGAGTTGTAAATAACAGGTAAAAATATAAATCGTAAAGATATATTTGGTGTTAAGTCAACAGTAAATAATCATAAATAGGTATAATCAATATAATATAATTAAGATCTGAGAATTACAATGATTTTGCAATCAGAAAATCTTGCGTCCTGCGTTGTGACAATTGTGATGATTATGCCATGTGGCGTAAGAAAACCCATCGAGTATAGGAAATTATGGTCTTTAAGGTTTTTTTAAAGTCAGGGGGTTTTCATGCTGGTCTACCTTTCCGGTGATCCTGTTATGGAATACGGGTACGCGACCCCGGCTCCCCGAGCTACTGTTATTCTCATACCTTTCCTGCCGAGATAACAGTATCCTTACACCTATGCTCCTACCCCCAAACTTCTTTTTCCTCTTCCCAAAATGGTAGCTTCCTCTACCAGCAATAGCATACCCAAAGAGGGTTGGTGTCAGGCAGGCGGCCGACTGTAAAACTTTTGCCAAATCCCATGCAGTAAATGAATAGTACGAGTTGTGGGACATATGACAGGGCTAGGGCGTACCCCGCAGGCGACGCGCAGGGGCAGCACCCGGCTCCTGTGGGAAGTGGGCAAGGGTTGTCGCACCTTACGGAGCGGGTGCGACGTAAGAGGCGAGCCCGGAGAGAGAAGAATGTCAGAGTTAGGTTTGCAAGCTGGAATATAGGTACGATGACTGGAAGAGGAAGAGAGTTAGCAGATGTTTTGAAACGACGAAGAGTCAATGTTGCCTGTTTGCAGGAAACAAAATGGAAGGGCAATAAAGCAAGAGAGATTGGGGAGGGATACAAGTTTTATTATTGTGGAAGTGATGGGAAGCGAAATGGAGTAGGAGTTGTGTTAGATAGTGGAATGAAAGAACGAGTGACAGATGTGAAAAGAGTAAATGACAGAATGATAGTTGTTAAATTAATGATTGAAAACAAAGTAGTGAATGTTGTAAGTGTGTACGCTCCGCAAACAGGCTGTGAAGAGAGTGTGAAAGAGAAGTTTTGGGAGGAATTTGATTGTATGATGATGGGAATACCTGAGCGTGAGGATGTTTATATGGGAGGAGATTTTAATGGACATGTAGGGAGAGTGAATGACGGGTATGAAAGAGTTCACGGTGGATGGGGGTACGGAGTGCGGAACCGTGAGGGGGAAGTTCTTCTGCAAGCAGCATGTGCTTTCGATCTGGCTGTAGTAAACACGTGGTTCCAAAAACGAGACCAGCATCTTGTTACTTATAAAAGTGGCCACCACGCGACACAGATCGACTATCTTCTGATAAGACGGAACCAAATCAAGAGTGTAAAAAACTGCAAAGTGCTTCCAGGTGAAGACTTAGTATCCCAGCACCGAATCCTGCTGGCTGACATCTGCTTAACTGTTCGCCTCAACAAACATAAGGATCGTCCCCCACCCAAAATAAAGTGGCATTTGCTGCATAAGGAGGGGTATGCAAGTGAATTTAGAGAGCTAGTTGTAAACAAGATGATAGAGATGGGTGATATGGAAGGAATGAGTGTGAATGAGTGCTGGAAGGAAATGGCTGATTGTATCCGAAGTGTGGCAAGGAAGGTGTTAGGAGAAACAAAAGGGAAGCGTATGATAGATAAGGATGGGTGGTGGTGGAGTTAAAGTATTAGAGAAGTTTTGAGAGAAAAGAAAAATGCCTTTAAAGAATGGCAGAGCGTAGAAGACCAGAATGAATCCACAAAAGAAAGTAAGAGAGGGGCGTATAAAGAATGTAAGAAGAGAGCGAAGAAGGAAGTTGCTATTTGTAGGGCAGAGGCGCACGATAAATTATATCGGTCCCTTGAAAGCCCCGAAGGTCAAAAACGACTTTTTCAAATTGCAAGAGCGAGAGAAAGGAATGGAAGAGATGTTTCACATGTAAAATGTATAAAAGATGATTCTGGAAGGATTTTGACTGACGATGAAAGTATAAAGAAGCGATGGAAGGAGTATTTTGAGAAATTGATGAATGAGGAGAATGAATGGAATGGTATGCTTGAAAACCCACCAGTGAATATGGGCTTAGTGAGAGAAATTAGTGTGGAAGAAGTAAAAATGGCTGTTAGGAATATGAAGAATGGGAAGGCGGTCGGCCCAGATGGAATACCAGTAGAAGTGTTGAAGTTGCTGAGGGCGGATGGATGGAAGTGGTTGAGTTTATTTTTCGGTAAATTGTTGCAGGAAGAACAAATACCTGAGGAATGGTGCAGTAGTATATTTTTAAAAACAAAGGAGACGTTCAAAACTGCAGCAGTTACCGGGGAATAAAGCTCATGTCACATACGATGAAAGTCTGGGAAAGAATAATAGAGAGAAGAATGAGAGAAGAGTGTGAGATAACACAAAACCAGTTCGGATTCATGCCCGGTCGAGGTACGACAGATGCCATTTTCGCATTACGCCAATTGTGCGAAAAGTACAAGCGCGTGCATAAAGATCTGCACATGGTTTTTGTCGACCTTGAAAAGGCGTACGATCGGGTTCCCCGTGAGGTCTTGTGGTGGGCGTTGAAGATGAAAGGTATGCCTGGGAAGTATGTGAGGTTGGTCCGTGCTATGTACAGAGCATCCCGTACATGTGTACGATCTGCCGCGGGAACTACGGGCAGTATACGTGTGGCGGTAGGGCTGCACCAAGGGTCGGCACTGAGCCCTTACCTCTTCCTACTGATTATGGACGCTTTGACGTCGGATCTGCAGGATGAGGCACCCTGGTGCATACTCTTTGCCGATGACATCGTGCTTGTCGGGGAAGAAGGCATCGAGGTACAGAGCAGACTGACGGGGTGGCAACGGAGGCTGGAAAGTGTTGGCTTGAAGATCAGCAGATCCAAAACCGAATATCTGTGCTGTGATTTCGGCGGTCTTTCCAGTCCTGTACCCATGTCGTTGGATGGCGCTATACTGCCTATCTGCTCAGATGTCAAGTACCTCGGTTCCCTCATTCAAGGCGACGGCGGAATAGATAGAGCTGTGCAGCATAGGATTAACGCAGGGTGGATGAAATGGCGACAGGTCACAGCCACAACTTGCGATCCCCGAATGCCAATAAGGCTGAAGGGGAAAATTTACAAATCGATCATCCGACCTGTCGTCATGTATGGAAGTGAATGCTGGGCCGTCAAGAAGAAGGATGAAAATAGACTGCATGCGAATGAAATGAGAATGTTACGATGGATGTGTGGTGTGACAAGGATGGATAAGATAAGGAATGAGTATATAAGAGGAAGCCTGAAAGTAGCGCCAGTGGTAGAAAAGGTGAGAGGAAGCAGATTGGCATGGTTTGGGCATGTGATGCGGAGGAATGAAAGTCATGTCACAAAACGAGTGTTGAATATGAATGTGGAGGGACACACGGGCAGAGGAAGGCCGAATAAAAGATGGATCGATTGTGTGAAGAGTGATATGAGAATGAAAGGAGTAAGTATGGAAATGACGGCTGATAGAGAGGAATGGAACAAAAAGATTTACTGCGCCGACCCCAGATAATGGGAAATGGTTTAGAGAATGATGATGGTCTTTAAGGTTTAAATATTAAGGTCTTTTGAATTTAGATAAATGGCAGTATACTTTAGCCCAAACTAAAAAGGAAGACCTTGACACATTTTAATCAGTTCTTACTAAGCCGATTGAATTGTAATATAAATTTCCTGTGGGCATCAAAAACTATAGACTCTAATAGTTGGTGGTATATTATTTCGCATGTATGCGCAGGTATATGGTCGTAAAAGAAGCGAGAGAGGTATGTCAGGATCATGCCAAATGGAAGTCAGTAGTCTCTGCGTACCCCTCTAGGTGACAGGTGTAAGTGTTTATGTGTGTATATATATGTATGTATGTATACAATCTCTTTTAAGCCAAATTAAAAATGCCTAGACCGGCGACGGCAAGCTCCGTTCAAGGATGGGTGGGACTTCTGGAACTGCAATCTCTAATCTTATAACGGCAGAGGTATAGGCATCTATTGTGGATTCCATTTTTGGAGAGTAATAAGGTTATAGTAATAGGCTTGTAGTTGAACGGATCTGAGCGGTTTCCTTTTTTAGGGATCGGGTGCACTAAAAACTGTCTTTCATGTGTTCGGGACTACGCCTAGGGAGTAGGAGTACCGGGAAAAACACGTTAAAACTGATGCCAACTCCGAAGCACACGTCTTCGGCACAATAGGTGGTACTCCATCAGACCCACTCCATTAGACCCACTGGACTTATTGACATCCAGGGAGAGGAGTGCTTTCCGCACCGAGCGCTGTGTAAACGACATATCCTGCATGGAGCACTCACACCGCGGAATGGTCGGCGGTGTGTTCCAATGAATAAATTAGCTTAAATTAATTCCTGGACATAGGTCCAGCAGTGAACTTAAGCCAATTAATAATGATGAAGGCAAAGACATCACTAATAATATTTTAGTTTGATATTTTCATTCTCTATAATTATCAACATCATGTTAATATTATTAAAATATTTTTATTGAAAACTTGTTTTGGCAAAGCAGCATATGCGGGCAAGAGAAGTGCACTCTTTCCCTTCTAACACTGCCTGCATGCCTAGGGGAGTTTCGGCTGACTCATCAAAACAATAAACAAAGTATCGGGGGCCTATTTTATTTTATTATTATGCATGCCTCCCTATGATTTACGCTGCATAACTTGCTTTCCGCGAAAAGGTCGAGACAATATATTTCTATTTCGAAAACATGTAATTGTTAAAATATAATAGAATAAAAGTGAACACATTTTTAAATACACAAAGATTATTTTTTTTATTCTGAAATTTTGTGATGATTTTCTCCTGTGTCGTGGAGGCAGTTAACAAACATAAGTTGCACGAGGACAAACATCCGGACCCGGAACAATTATTTGTAGGCCATACAAATACTTCTTCCGTGCGGGATTCGAACCCGCGGCCCCCAGCGCAACAACTCATTGCTAAGCCACCTACCTTACCTGCCTACTTGCATTCGAATTATAAGTTGCCAGGTCGAAAACCCACTATACGGTGGTAATGGGAGACTTCAACTCAAAACTAGGCACAAGATAGAACGGTGATCTGAAGGTAGGAAAATTTGGAATAGGGCAACGGAACCCAAGAAACAGAAACAGAAACAGAAACTTTTTTATTCAATATAGATTATAAATAATACTTATTGAAAGTCATTCTTTTGTTTGATTACCACTGGTTCGGAAAAAACCTCTGTCCTGGGAAGAACCAGCAAGAAACCCAGCGGGACTTTTTTTTTTAAATAACAGCTTACAATCATGATGTTACACAAATTAACAACACAACAAATTAGAAATAGCTTGGTAGCGATCACCTCATTTCCAGGGGTTATTATCATCCATAAATTCCTTAATATTATAATAACCCTTTTTATACAAACTTAGTTTAATAAAGTTTTTGAACTTTGAACAGGCCAAACTTTGTATATTTTCTGGAATTTTGTTGTAAAAGCGTATACATCGCCCCAAGAATGAATTACTGACTCGATGGAGTCGAGTAACTGGTACTACTAGCTTGTGTCTGTTCCTAGTATTTACAGAATGAATATCACTTATTTTTATAAAACTACTTTTATTTTTGTGTACGTACATTAAATTTTCATAAATGTATTGAGAGGCCAAAGTTAATATATTAATTTCCTTAAATTTTTGTCGCAGCGACTCTTTAGGCTTTAAATCATAAATTGCTCTTATGGCCCTCTTCTGCAAAACAAATATAATTTCTGTGTCAGCTGCGTGTCCCCATAGCAAAATACCATACGACATTATGCTATGGAAGTAGCTGAAGTAAACTAGTCTAGCTGTTTCAACACTGGTTAGACTTCTAATCTTTTTTACAGCATATGCTGCAGAACTAAGTCTGCTTGCTAGTTTTGATATATGGGGGCTCCATTGAAGCTTCGCGTCTAGTGTGATTCCAAGAAAAATGGTGGTATCTACAAGACTCAGTTTCTCCCCATTTAAAATTACATTAGTATTTAATTGTTTGACATTTGGAGTCACGAATTTCATACATTTTGTTTTAGTGCCATTTAAATGCAAATTATTAACATCGAACCAATTTACTAATTTAGATATAGCATTATTTACTTCGTCATATTTTAGTAACTGTCGACTTAATTTGAAAATTAAAGAAGTGTCATCTGCAAATAATACTATATCATGGCTATCCCCTACTATGTAAGGTAAGTCATTAATGTATACAAGAAACAGAAAGGGGCCGAGAATTGAGCCTTGAGGCACGCCCATTTGTACCATCGATCCGGAAGAGCTCATATTGTTAATGACAACTTTTTGCGTTCTCTTACTTAAATATGAAATAATTAATTTAAGGGCATCACTTCTTACACCGTAGTGTTGAAGTTTCCTGATTAATGTTTCATGGTGAACACAATCGAAGGCCTTGGATAGGTCACAAAATATACCCAAAGCATCCTGTGAATTCTCCCATGCATTAAAGATATATTTAATCAGCTCAACACCGGCATCAGTTGTCGAGCGACCCCTTGTGAAACCAAATTGATTTTTATGAAGTAAATTATTTATATTAAAAAAATTTAACATTTGATCAAGAACAATTTTTTCAAAAATCTTACTAAGTGTTGGTAGTACAGAAATAGGTCTAAAATTGGCGGGGTCTAATGTACTACCAGATTTAAATAAAGGTATTACTTTACTATGCTTCATTAAATCAGGAAACACACCAGATTCGATACTAGTATTAAAAATAATAGCTAAATGAGGCGCGATTGTATCTATTATAGACGCAATAACTTTAACGGAAATCCCCCACAGATCCGCAGTTTTCTTAACATCAATAGTTTTAAAATATTTTACAATATCTTTTGATGTCACTTTATGAAATGTAAAATTCTTTGTACACACATTTACATTATGTTTAAGTAATGATTCGGCGACGGCAGGAGAAGAATTTAGTGACTTAGTGGTCAAGATCGGAATATCAGTAAAATATTTCTCAAAAACCATTGCTACGTCCTGATCTGATACAGTTAATTTGTTGTTAACACTTAACTGGTAATTTGAATTGCGAGAGTTGATCTTACCAGTTTCGCTATTAATTATACTCCATGTCATTTTAATTTTATTGGAAGCCGTCTTAATTTTGTTGCTCAAATGCAAAGACTTGGCTATGGAGCACACTCTTTTAAATATTTTTGAATATTTTTTTACATATTCCCTAAATTCGACGCTATGATTATATGACCTTTCATGGTAAAGATCATATAACCTATGCCTGCTCTTATGGACTCCTACTGTCGCCCATTCATTGAATGACTTCCGACTGTTCAAGGAGAATGTTTTAGAAGTAAAAGTATTATTAAATTCATTGCAAATAAGCTTAAATAATGTTCCATACAAAAAATTAGGATCATTTTGGTATGAAAGTGATGGAAGTTTTTTCACTATGTTACTTCTAAATTTCTCCAAGCGACGTGCATTTACTGGAACAGACACAACTTTCTCATCTACTTGCTTTTTGTGAACATAAGGTAACGAAACTACTTGTCCACAGTGATCAGAACTTAATTTTTGAATTATACATTTATGCAACGGCTTCACATTTGTAAAAATGTTATCTATACATGTTGCACTAGATTGAGAAATACGCGTTGGCTCTATAAATAAATTAAAAAGACCATATGATTTAAACAATGATCTAAATTTAATATTGATGGAGGAAGCTTCTAGGAGATTGATATTAAAATCTCCACATATTACAACAGATTTATTCTGTTTATTAAGCTTAGCAAAAACTTCCTCCATAATGTTTTCAAAAGTATCATATGTACAACATGGGGGTCTGTAGACGCTCACAACAATGAGGTGCTCAAACTCAACACATGCCATTTCTACAGTTCGCTCAACAGAGAGGCTCACAATGTCTTTACGTTCTTTACATGATAATAATTTACTAGCTAATATTAAGGAGCCACCTCTTAAAACCGTATCTCTATTGAAAGAACTGACCACCTGGTGATTACTGAAGTTAAACATTAAATTATAAGATTTTAACCAATGTTCAGTAATACATAAGATATGAATATTGTTGCTATTTAAGAACAACTCAATTTCTAGCTCTTTGCCTATCATGCCTTGTATATTTTGATGCACCAGGTGTAAACAATTTTCATTATCTTTCTGTGGAGTCATACAATTAAAGATTTGTAAGCCACATTCTAAATTATTTAAGTTATTATAACTGCTAGAGATTACCTCTATTGTCTCATTTTCTAATTTAAATTACTTGGAACTGATTCCAAATTGCATGTTAAGTCATTACACTGCTCAAAAGAAGCAGATGTCTGTGTAGCCAAGTCCTTGGCTGAGTTAATATATAAATAATAAGATAGCACATTTGCTATCTGTCTTAAATTATATTTTGATAGGTAATACCTATCTCTAGTCAAAAATTTCTTAATTAAATTATTTATATCTATTAAATTAATTCTATCATTATAATTGTAAC